TGACCCCCGGGGCAAAGGGCCATTTCTCCAGGGACCCCCGGGGCAAAGGGCCATTTCTCCAGGGACCCCCGACGCAAAGGGCCATTTTTTCTGACCATTATTAATTATTGAAGTGATTGTCACTGATGTATAGAGCAAATGAATGTTGTAAAATATTTGTCTCTGGGTGAAATACTCTAAGTACGTTATATTTCTCATTCTTTCTATTAAAATGTTCACCAGCTTACCGATCGTGGTATTTTGCGGTGAAGTGTAGATCTAATTGCAGGGGTTCTGCGAGACCTCCGTATTATTTGCAGGGTTCCTCTGGGGTAAAGGGATCAGGCCGTGGTGAGCATTCACATCACATGATCAGCTATGAGAATGACGGCTTTCCATAGTCACTGTTCAGCAGAATGTTAAAAGGTTTCTTCATGAAACTCAACTCAGTCTTGGGTACTTGGAAACACAAGTGACCTCACTTACTAGCACTTCCTGTTCAATGGGGTTGTTCCTCTTTCTGTCATTGTACTTCCTCATCAGCTGTTACCATTTGTATTTATTCCATTAGCTTTGCTTGCAGGCTTATGTAGTAAGGGAGGCAGGCAAGGAGCTTGAACCTATAGCAACCAATCACAGTTCAGATCATGGTTTCTGATGGCTGCACCTATGTACAGATCACAAAACAGGTTTAGCAGCTTCCCCTCTGCTGGTGGCACCTTCCATTGGCTTTACCATCCTGTTCAACACCCCAAAATCCCTGTGTAAGTTCCAGGTGAGGTTTGAGGTTCCCACGTGACAGCGTTTGGGTCTGGCATTGTGAAAGGAAGGAAGGACTTTCCTTTTGGGATCAACTAGGGTACTTGGTGGCAAGGAAGCAAGTGGGACATTTGGCACCAGTGGCTGAGGGCCTTGCTGTGGAGCTAACGTCTTACTTTGCCCAGACACGTAGGATAATGAGAGAGACTGACCCTTAAAGGAGAACTCCTCAAAAATGACCTCTTGCAGTGCGGCACCAATAGTGTGTGCAAGCTCCAGGACTGTCATTTGTGGCTCTGGCACATACAACTTCACAAACAAGACAATAATGGCAGTTCCCATGCTTCTCTCCTTTTAGAGCAAGGGTGGGCAACTCCAGCCCTCCATTTCTTGTGGAACTACAAGTCCCATGAGGCATTGCAAGAGTGACACTTACAGGCATGACTCCCAGAGGTAGAGGTATGCTGGGACTTGTAGTTAAAGCACAGCTGGAGGGCCAGAGTTGCCCAGTTTTTGGAATAAACCCCAAACATTTTATTTTTTTTGGGAAATGGTGCAAATCTTTCTTTTGTTTTTCTGCCATCTGTGTCTCTTGACTTCCTGTCCTGTAGACACAACAGGAAATTAGCTCCTCTACTCCCCCTGTGGTCCTCAACTCCCCACTCTACTCCACACTGTGTGCAAATCGCTCAGCTCCTCTACTCCACCCTGTGGTCCTCAACTCCCCACTCTACTCCACACTGTGTGCAAATCGCTCAGCTCCTCTACTCCACCCTGTGGAGTAGAGAAGCTGAGCGATTTGCACACAGTGTCTGTGGCTGCTTACAAAATATCTCAATTTTATCTATGATATGTGAGTAGTATTCCCTTTTTTTTTAATAAAGTCTGGTATCCTTTTTAAAACCATCTGCACTACGAGTTTCCACTTTTTACTTTATTTGATGCATGGGCCATTCGGATGAACTGTCTGTTTCCAATTCCTGAGACTGCAAGAGAGTCTGTACCTGAGAGGAGGTAATCACTCGGAGGTATTGGGCATCAGGTGCTTCCTCTACCTGTTTCGAATTAGAGGAACAGCGCATACAGACCCTGGTGGGTCTCTGCTAAAGGTGAGGGGCATTCCAGAAGATTTCTCTGTTGATGGTCACAGGAGACTAAGTTTATTCTACATCCAATGTTTTATCTTCTATTTACTTAATGGACTATTGAAGATCCAGGATCATGGACATTTTTTAACCATTTATTATTTTCACTGGAGTGCAAGTTACACACATGCGTTTTTCTTGTCGGTATTCTTTGCACATTGCATCACATTGATTCACAGTTAATATTTAGTGCATTTGATTTTTCATTATGGATATTTTGTAGCAATTACATTTACACTAAGGTGCATGTTATATACATGCGTTTCTTTTTTGTTTTGCACTTTTTACACATTGTATCACATTACTCCAAGGTCAGTATCTACTATATCTGATACTTTGCGGTCTCATTCACACAGCGCGGATTTTACCATTAATTTCATACGTTATATCTGACCACACAGATTTCAGCTGCTGCTTAACTTGATTAGAGTAGTGGCGCGAGGTTTCACATCATTCACAACAGGAAATTGGTGAAGATCTCCCCAAATGGGGGGAAATCTCCTCTTATGCAGTCACTTCCCCATTGGAAGATTTCCCCTCTATTCTTGTTCTGGAACATTTGGGCTTTCCTTCACTTTCTGTCCCTTGGTTACCAGGACAGTGTGAACATGGAGGTAGACGGCAGTTATAAAAGGACAGAGGTTCTAACCCCTTACTACTCCATCCAAGCCGAAGCTTAAGCCCTCGTTCACACCTGAACGTTTTGTAGCGTGTTCTACGCTCGACGAACGCTCTACAAAACGCTCAAAATATAAATCCCATTGTATTCAATGGTCTCGTTCCCACCTTGGCGTATTTCCGCCCGTCCCTAACGCGCTACAAAACGGCCCACGCCTGAAAAGGTACAGGTACTACTTTGGGCCGTTTTGTTGCGCGTTTCCATTGGGATACAGCCAAGTAGTCTTCGGAAACGCGCAACGGTCGCGCAACTTTTTTACCGCGGATCGCGGTAAAAAAACCCGCGACGGTCGCGCATATGCAATACGCCTAGGTGTGAACGAGACCTAAAAGAAAACTATGGAGTAACCGTTTTACCCCATAGTTCTCTTCAGGGTCACAGGAGGACATATACTAACATCCTCCCGTGACCCAAAACTCAGTATGTGGCGAGCTACAGCTCACTATATACCAAGAGCGCCGCAGGCGGGATGGATCCGGACAATGCTTTCGAGATCCACCCAGCTGCGTGAGTGATAGTGGACTCTGCCTATCTAGAGGCGGAGCCAGCTGTACCCGCCCCCTCCACTGTCTGTTCCTCCACTCAGCGCTGGAGGATCGGAGAGGGGCGGGGGGAATCCCTGCGGGCAGCGGTGTCTGACAGTCACGGCTCTCTGCAGGGAGATGATCAGAAAGTGAGCGAGCGATGGTATGTGTTCCCTCACTTCTCGATCTATTGAGCTGACCTGTGACAGTCTCATTGTCACACGTCTGCTTGAACTATGAGGCTGAGTGGAAATCATTTACCTTATAGATATCCTTTTAATCTTTTTGTTTTGCCCTCTCTGGTTCCTCCTGACCCCTCTAGCCCAAAATCAACTAATTTATTAGCACCCAAATAGCTGCCATGTCATAACCCAGATCATGTGCATTAGTTGCTGATACTATGTCACTTGTGACTGTCTGAGCGTCATCACTCAGCCCTCTCTGGATTTTATTTAACAGACGTTTTGTTTTCCAGCATTCTAGTTCTCTCCTGTTCCGTATCGGGCAGCTGAGCACAGTGGACCTCGAAGATGAAAATCAGGAACTGGTGAGTTGTAGACATTAAAGCGGACCTTTACACTCAAAAATCTAATTCTACCCATGCTTCCCTCTGTGTATGATGATTAATAATAACATAGACATGTCAGGTGTAAAAGGCTGTGATTGTGAAATACTTACACTTGCAGAGCATTCACTTCCTGCTTTGTAAGGGCAAAATGACTTGAGTTTGCCAAAGCAATGCACACTGGGATTGCCTTGTCATCAGCAGAGCATTGCTGGGAAATCTCGCGAGATCTCAGGGAAAGGCATTTTCCTCCCCTGAGATGATGTGTATGGTCACATGTCCTAGTCACATGTGCCAGAAATACAGGAAGTAGGAGAGCTAGTAATCTGCCCTTAGTTAACATGGCCACTGCCAGAAGAAAAGAGAAATAAGGAATGCAAAGAATACAATGCCGGCAATTATCTAGAAGTATGTGTTTGTAGATTGTCAGCACTACGCATTACTAGAGGTGCGTTTGTTGTTATTTTATACATATGGGTAAAGGTCCGCTTTAAAGCAATGCATTCCCTCACTGTTAGCTAAACTATAATCCAGGGTGGGTGTCCTGCGTCATATGTTTGATTAGAGGGTTTGCTGAGCACTCCTGTGTGTTGAGCCTTTTAGATTAAATGGTTTTCTTCTCTTTATGTGTCGGGGAGTGCTCAATAGGAGGTTAGGAACATGACCTAAATCAGAGATGGCAACCTTGGCACTCCAGCTGTGGTGAAGCTACAACTGCAATAGTGCCCCTGCGAATCATGCCTGTGGCTGTCAGAGTCTTGCAATGCCTCATGGGATTTGGAGTTTCATCACAGCTGGAGTGCTGAGGTTGCCTACCCCTGCTCTAGAGGAATTCTTAGGCCCCATTCACACATAGCGACATACCTTTTGCAGCGGCCGGGATAGCGCGACTTTCGGGGCGACGTTCCAGCGACGGTAGCGCGACCTTCTCCGTCGGGCTCCATTAGAAAAAAGCAAAATCCGCAGAAAAAAGGGTCCTGTAGAAGAGACCCGCGACGAGCGACGCGAGACATGGGGCTAAGACGGCTCCATTGAATATCATTAGCCGGCGACTTCTCGCGATATAGCACATTTTTGCCGCGATATATCGCTACGTGTGAATGGGGCCTAAGGTTCTACAGGACACTGTTTGCCAAACCCTGTTACAAGTCATTCATTTTCATTCCCATGTATAGGGTGACAGATATGCACTGGATGTTTGTTCATACCGTTTTGAGTGTATTGGTTCCATGGCGGTTAATTTTCCATCCATCCCGTCATACCATGCCACATCCATCCACATTTGGATACTCCATTGGCACTTGGTAGGGAAGTAAAACATATGTTGTAGCTCCTGGGGTTGTCTTCAACTCATTCTTACCCTCAGCTGGTTTTTAAACATGGCCGTACTGGTACACCATATGAGATGTACATTATTATATATGTATTTATATTTTATATGTATGTTTATTTATTTTTTTAGGAAACGGATCTTTCCTCCATGGTCCTCAAAGAAATTCCTCACACTGACAACCTGCTCTCGCTCAAATATGAGGTATGTATTTCTTTCAGCTCAGATCTATTGAGGTTAAACTGGAGCTTTGTTTGTAAGATTTAGGGGGTGTAATTAGATCCATTCACCCTGGAACTTTGCACTTTCGTTCTGTGTGATTGGAGGCAATGAAGAATGTTATTTAGCATATGTTCTTTCCAGGTAGAATGTGATATTACGAAAATACCACAGTATGGCCAATAGTTGGAGCTGAGGAGCTTAGGGAGGAATATTTAAATCCATTTCTTCTCAGCTCCATCTAGTGGCCATGAGGTGGTATTTACCTGCTATTTCATTCGGCCCAGAGAGAAAATCTACCAATAACATTCGTTTTTGTCTTCATTTGAAAAAAAACGATCGTGGATTAAATTTCCCAGGATGAATGACTGCTAATTCTTTATGGATACACCCCTTAGAATTGAACATGTACAGAGTGTCCCCATTCCTGCAACAGTTTGTCATGAGTTCATGTGGCAGTGTGTGTGTCTTGATGTTCAGGTTGTTCTGAGCAAAAGCTGTTTTCGGTTCCTCAGTCTGAATGTTATAAAGCGAGAGTCAGGAGACTGGATGCATAAAATATTAAATCACAGGTAAGGAAAGCTCTGTTGCAGCGCTGTCATTCAGGAGAACCAGATGTGATTCGGCGAATGAAAGACTTTGTTTTTAAATTGTAATTGTCCGGACTTCCTTGTAAAAAGATTGATATTTGCCTGTTTGTATGTGGCTTTACCTTGTTGCCTGACTTGATGACAATATAAAGCATTGTCTCTCCTCTCCTGAGTGTGCTTAACAGTGTAAAATAACAGATGGTTTGTTCCTATTGACCTCGCAGCTCTGTTGTTTGATGCCGTTATGTACACTCAGATGCTGGGAGAGCACAGACATAAGAAGCCATCATGTGACTTGGACCACCCAACCTCACCTGTACCTGAAATACCACTTTAGGGTCAGGATTAGGGATGCACCGATACCGTTTTTTCGGTATCGAGTACCAATATTTTTTTTTCCGGTACTTGGCCGATAAAGAGTGCCCCAATTATCAGTATGTTGGGCGGCAGATCATGACCCGTTGCCCGGCTTCCTGATTGCCTGTGAAGCCGGTGTCCTAGTGAAACAACACCGGCTCCACTTGCCGAGGCAGCCTGGCTTCCTGACCAATCAGAAAGCTGGGAGGCGGGTCATTACGTGCTGCCCGGTTTCCTGATTGGTTAGGAAGCCAGGCTGCCTCGCAACAAGAGAAGCTGGCTTCCTAGCCAATAAGGAAGCCGGGCGTCACGTCATGACCTGTCTCCCGGGTTCCTGATTGGCTAGGAAGCCGCCTTCTTTTGTTCCTAGACAGCCTGGCTTCCTGACCAATCAGGCGGGAGGTGGATCATTAAGTGCCCCACGGCTTCCTTATTGGTTAGGAAACCCGGCTGCCTCTCAACAAGTGAAGCCGGCTTCCTAGCCAATCGGAAAGCTGGGAGGCCGGCTTCCTGATTGGAAAGGAAGCCGGCTCCATGCTCCCTCTGCACTGCTGGTCAGGGGGAGGTAAGTATCGGAGCATTTGGGCGAGTATGAGTACTCACCCAAATATTCAGTATCGGCACTGATGCTAGGAGCGGTATCCGTGCATCCCTAGTCAGGTCACTATCTGCAAGGAATTTGCATGTTCTCCCTGTGCTTGTGTGGGTTTCCTCCCACACTCCAAAGACATGCTGGTGGGTTAATTGGCTCCTGCCTAAACTGGCCCTGCATGCATGTAAGTTGGGGACCTTAGATTGTAAGCTCCTTGATGGCAGGGACTGATGGGAATGTGCACTATGTAAAACGCTGTGTACATTGCTGACGCTATATAAATAATAAATAAATGAAACCCGTTCTGTTCACTAGCAGACATTTTTTTTACAAGAATTCAACTTGTTCCCAATCTGCTTTCTGTAGAGTTTGGATTACGACAACAGTGATAACCAGCTGTTCATTGAAGAAGAGATGAGGATAAACCATGCGGTAACTATCTACTCTGCTCCCCAGTTATTTTCTTTTATAAAGCCCTTGTAGCATGAACATCATGGGGCTTGTGGGGTTTGGAGAGCAATTGTATACAGTGCAATACAAATAATAAATCCTTTGGCTTCCATAGAATCCCCTGATTATAAGTTCTCTCTTAGCTGTGGGCGCTGCCTCAGCTTACAATAACAGAATAGGGAATGAATACACAATCTGGGTGCACTGGTATGTGATTCCATTCAGAGATTTGATGCAGAGGAAGGAAGGGGGTGAACGGGAGGGGTTTTGCCTGAAAGGTGTCGCAAATGAGCGAGAGCCAATTAAAAATAGTCATTTAAAGATGGACTCCAGGTATGCAAAAAGTTAACCCTTGCAGTGGGGCTATCCCCCCCACCTCACCCCCACACACACACTGCAGGTTAAGGGTTAACTACTCATTTTTCTCTAGGGTTGAAAGAAAACAAAAAGATATATTTACCTGATCCTCGGTTCTGTGGCTGTGACTCCGCACCTCCCCTCCTGCTCCTTTTGGGGTATGTCCCTCGGCATTCTCACGTCTAATGCAAGTGAATTGACTGCATTAGACATGATGGTGTCAGCGGGGCTTAGAAGAGGCTGCTGGGGCTGGTCTAGCAGCAAGGTGGGATTGAGGATCAGGTGAGTATATTTATTTTATTGGATCCCCTAGGGAAAGTCGAGCAGTTAACCCTTGCAGCGCGTGGGAAGCCCCACTGCAAGGGTTAACTTTTGACATTCCTGGAGTTCCTCCCGGAGTTATTCGTTGCAGGAAATAATAAAGTGTATCAGTCAGGTAAACCTGGGGGAAGGATATAAAACAAAGCTGTAGAGTTCTGTTATGGGGAAGTGCAGTGACATTATAGATAAGAGGGAAGCAACCTTAGGTGACACTATAAACCCCACAATGCCTCTGTCCCTGGTGCTCATGTCTGTGGCTGTTAGTCTTGCAATGCCTCGTGGGACTTGTAGTTTCACAGCAGCTGGAGTGCCAAGGTTGCCTATCCCTGTTATAGATCTGTAACCCTCATCTGCATGTGGCAGCACCTCTGTGGTGATCTCATGTAGCTCCGCTGTCTAAAGCTGACCATACACCTATAGATTATCTGCAGATTTTCTATGGTCAGATTCCTCCGTCTACGCTAAACTGTGTGCATGAAGGAATCTCCCGCTGGGCCAAGCTTCAGTATCTTGCTAGTCGGCCCCGCTGGCTCTCAAAACACTTAAAGGAGAACTATGAGGCGAGTGAAAATCACTCAGCCTCATAGTTTGAGCCGACGTGTGACAATGAGACTGTCACAGGTCGGCTCAATAGATCGGGAAGTGAGCGAACACATACCGTCGTTCGCTGACTTCTCGATCCTATCCCTGCAGAGAGCCTGTCAGTCACGGCTCCCTGCAGGAATTCCTCCCCTCCCCGCTCCGATCCTCCAGCGCTGACTGGCGGAACGAACAGGGGAGGGGGCGGGTACAGCTGGCTCTGTCTCTAGATAGGCAGAGCCAGCTGTCACTCACGCAGCTGGGTGGATCTCAACAGTAATGTCGGGATCCGTCCCAGCTGCGGCGTCTCGGGAAAACCGCAAGCTGCAGCTCGCGGTATACTGAGCTTTGGGTGACGGGAGGACGCTAGTTTGTGTCCTCCCGTTACCCTTAGGAGAACTATGGGGAAAAGCCCTGACCCCCCATATTTCTCCTTTTGAACAATGCCTGCATCCAATCAGATTGTTCAGGTATTTGGACAGCCAGCGGAGCCGACTAGCAAGATACTGAAGCTCGGCCCAGTGGGAGATTCCTCCATACACACAGTTTAGCGTAGATGGAGGAATATGTTGCACCTTTTCCATCTGACCAGAGAAACTCTGCAGATCATCTATAGGTGTATGGCCAACTTATGGATTTGTGTCGATGGCATCAGCTGAGATCATTTAAAATGAATTGGCAGGTGCATCTGACCTATAGTTGCCGTCCTTTGGCCCTGCATACCCTTTGGCTTGTATGGAAATGCAAAACCCATCAAAGCAAAAAGCCCCTAATGGTTCCTCTCCTGTGTTCTTTTCTTGCTCCAGGCTTTCCGCTCTGTGGAGGTAACACGATGGGTCATCTGTGGATTGATCGGGATTCTGACCGGCCTTATCGCTTGCTTTATTGACATTATGGTGGAGCTACTGGCCGGATTTAAGTACCAAGTCATTAAAAGCAGTATCCTTTATAAACAAATCTCTGATGTATAATGTTTAAACTTCGAGAGCTATTAAAGTGACACCAATCTCAGGAGATAAATCTTAAAAATACATTCAGGTACCTGAACCATTAACAATACTGGACCTTATTTGTGTATCACTCGGCTGTAGATCCTCAAATCATCTCTGAATTGGTACTGACACTGTCCTTCCTTCTGCAGGGGGTCTACTTTTGTTCCCCATGGTCCCTGTGTGTGTAAAGTAGTCACCGCTCCAAGCTCACTCCTGTGATGGACTACAATCTCAATACCAATCAGTAATCTAAACATGAGATTGTAGTCCATCCCGGGAGCGAGCCGCCTCCTCTTCACAGGAGCTCCGTAATGAACAACAGAAGGCAGGTGGTTTCTGTGAAATGCGTCAGGCCCGGTATCTCTGTGTCACATCTGATAATATCTGGAAGACTCCAAGCTGTTGGGGACGTAAAATAGTCAGCCTATCATTGCAGGGGATGTAAATTGGTTGAAATTAAAGGTGAACTCTAGAAAATGAATAAAAACCCGTGTAGTAGGGGGAGATTCACCACTCTATTTGTACTGGGGACCATTTTCAGTGAGAGAAAAGGAGAAGAAATCCAAAATTTTACAATTGTCTCCAGAACAAAAGAAGAAATCTTCAATGGGGACACCTGTTCCAGGGAGCAGCTGAATAGGGAAATTCATCTTGCTTTGGGAGATTTCCTCTAACTTCCTGTTAGGGAAATTTCCCAAATGATACACAGTAGGGATGCACCGAACTTCCGGTCAGAGGGAGATTTCCTCTGACCAGTAGTGTCGAGGGAACATAGAGCTGGCTTCCCGGCCAATCAGGAAGCCAGGCGGCGGGTGCTGACTCGCCGCCCGGCTTGCCGATTGGCCAGGAATCCATGCTGTTTGACCGGGAAGCTGGCTTCCTGTCAGTCAGCACCTAGCTGGCTTTTACCGGCCCATGAGGAAGCTGGCTTTCCCAGCCCATGATGAAGCTGGCTTTCCCGGCCCATGAGGAAGCTGGCTTTCCCGGCCCATGAGGAAGCTGGCTTTCCCGGCCCATGAGGAAGCTGGCTTTCCCGGCCCATGAGGAAGCTGGCTTTCCCGGCCCATGAGGAAGCTGGCTTTCCCGGCCCATGAGGAAGCTGGCTTTCCCGGCCCATGAGGAAGCTGGCTTTCCCGGCCCATGAGGAAGCTGGCTTTCCCGGCCCATGAGGAAGCTGGCTTTCCCGGCCCATGAGGAAGCTGGCTTTCCCGGCGCATCAGGAAGCTGGCTTTCACAACCATGTAAATCCCGGTCCCCTTGTCTGTGTTCACAAATGTTTGACACGGGTCAGATACTGTAATTTGCTACAAAGTTATAATGTTTGCAGCCTGACCACTGAAGGGAGGGGAGACTGAGGAAATGCTTCCTCCTGCCTACAGCAGACTAATATTCTTTCTACTCTCTACCCAGGCACAGTAACATGAGCTGAATTCCATGGGAGGATTTACAAACCTTCACATGCTTGCTCCTCAAAAAATGCTCATACACCTTTGTACTAAAACCGTGCAGCTGCCACTGTGGATTATTCTAGTGTCCTTATCCAGAACTGTCAGATATCGATAAGTTTACAGAAAAAGGAGGACTGTCTTTCTCTTTGCTGCTGTGGGCGGTTTTTAACGCTGCCATTGTCATGATTGGGTCACTCCCTGTCGCCTTCGTGGAGGTAAGGTCACTGAAGCTGGCTTTTGCAGCCATTTATCAGAGCAGAGGCGGGCAATTCATTTTTTTAAGGGGCCACATGAGAAACTGGGACTGTTGGGGAGGGCCAAACTAATAGGGGCCTGTTGGTTGGGCCCTCCACAGCCATTCCAGTTTCTCCATGCGTTAATGTGATTAACGCATGGTGTACCACACAACAGACCTACCGTGTGTTATAGTGCGGCAGGTGCGTTGCATTGCCATTTATTTCGATGGCACCTCAAATGCAACTCCTGGCTGCAATGGGATCAACCGCGCGGTTCCCGCCATACTGTACGTTGTGGTATGATGGAAAAAAAGTAGTGCATGCACTGTTTGTTTTTTTTCAGTCTTGCCGCAACACACGGTATTGCGGTACTGTGTGGTCGATTCCGTTGCAGCCAGGAGGTGCTTTTGGGGTACCATTCAAATGAATGGCAAAGCAGCACACCTCCTGCACTGTTACCGCATGGTAGGTGCGTTGCGTGCTACCGTGTTGATCGCACAGAACTACAATTAACGCAGGGACACTTGGTCCTAATACTAAGTATGTGCCACATACAAGGGTAAAGCTGGGGGCAGGAAGACTTTGTCACTGGCTGTTTGGATCGCCCAGCAGTCCTAGCAACCATTGATTGCAGAGGAAACTTGACGTCATTGGTTGCTAGGAAGCCAGAGATCCTAGCAACCAAGGACTGAAGAGAGACACGGTCCAGACTGATCGCTGACCTGCGCTGGGCTATAGCATGCAGTGGATGTACAGGCCTTGGAGGCCGATGCATCCACTGGCAGCCAGCCATAAACGAGTGCAGGTTGGCGATCGGTCCGTTTGTGGACCGCGGGCGCGACTGCCACAGACCAAGAGCCGGGTAAGGACCATGGGCCGTAGAATGCCCATGTCTGTATCAGAGGCTAGCTTGATGCCATCATTTTCCATTTCTATAAATCTGAAGTCTTATTTACTTCTTTTATCTTTCAGCCGGTGGCAGCCGGAAGCGGCATTCCTCAGATCAAGTGTTTCCTGAACGGGGTAAAAATCCCACACGTTGTGCGACTTAAGGTAAGAAAATAGTCACATGGCTTGTTTTATTTCTCACTATCTTACTTCTGTGCTGCCGATTCCTATTAACTTTCTATGTTTGTTTTTCCCTCCGATCTTTTGTAATGGATTTTTGAGAGAAATGTCAGATGTGGCACAAATACCGGGGCCTGTAGGGAGGACAGATGTGGAAGTATTGATTTGTAATAGCAGTGATCCCATATTGTGTCATCAGTGTGTGACTATAGGATGTCTGCAGTCTCTGACAATCTCTTGTAGCATGTCTGTAGTCTCTGACCATCTCTTATAGGATGCCTGCAGTCTCTGGCCATCTCTTGTTACATGTCTGTAGTCTCAGACCATTTACTTGTAGCATGTCAGCCTCTGACCATGTCGTTTAGGATGTCTGCAGCCTCTGGCCATGTCGTTTAGGATGTCTGCAGCCTCTGACCATGTCGTTAAGGATGTCTGCAGCCTCTGACCATGTCGTTAAGGATGTCTGCAGCCTCTGACCATGTCGTTAAGGATGTCTGCAGCCTCTGACCATGTCGTTAAGGATGTCTGCAGCCTCTGACCATGTCGTTAAGGATGTCTGCAGCCTCTGACCATGTCGTTAAGGATGTCTGCAGCCTCTGACCATGTCGTTAAGGATGTCTGCAGCCTCTGACCATGTCGTTAAGGATGTCTGCAGCCTCTGACCATGTCGTTAAGGATGTCTGCAGCCTCTGACCATGTCGTTAAGGATGTCTGCAGCCTCTGACCATGTCGTTAAGGATGTCTGCAGCCTCTGACCATGTCGTTAAGGATGTCTGCAGCCTCTGACCATGTCGTTAAGGATGTCTGCAGCCTCTGACCATGTCGTTAAGGATGTCTGCAGCCTCTGACCATGTCGTTAAGGATGTCTGCAGCCTCTGACCATGTCGTTAAGGATGTCTGCAGCCTCTGACCATGTCGTTAAGGATGTCTGCAGCCTCTGACCATGTCGTTAAGGATGTCTGCAGCCTCTGACCATGTCGTTAAGGATGTCTGCAGCCTCTGACCATGTCGTTAAGGATGTCTGCAGCCTCTGACCATGTCGTTAAGGATGTCTGCAGCCTCTGACCATGTCGTTAAGGATGTCTGCAGCCTCTGACCATGTCGTTAAGGATGTCTGCAGCCTCTGACCATGTCGTTAAGGATGTCTGCAGCCTCTGACCATGTCGTTAAGGATGTCTGCAGCCTCTGACCATGTCGTTAAGGATGTCTGCAGCCTCTGACCATGTCGTTAAGGATGTCTGCAGCCTCTGACCATGTCGTTAAGGATGTCTGCAGCCTCTGACCATGTCGTTAAGGATGTCTGCAGCCTCTGACCATGTCGTTAAGGATGTCTGCAGCCTCTGACCATGTCGTTAAGGATGTCTGCAGCCTCTGACCATGTCGTTAAGGATGTCTGCAGCCTCTGACCATGTCGTTAAGGATGTCTGCAGCCTCTGACCATGTCGTTAAGGATGTCTGCAGCCTCTGACCATGTCGTTAAGGATGTCTGCAGCCTCTGACCATGTCGTTAAGGATGTCTGCAGCCTCTGACCATGTCGTTAAGGATGTCTGCAGCCTCTGACCATGTCGTTAAGGATGTCTGCAGCCTCTGACCATGTCGTTAAGGATGTCTGCAGCCTCTGACCATGTCGTTAAGGATGTCTGCAGCCTCTGACCATGTCGTTAAGGATGTCTGCAGCCTCTGACCATGTCGTTAAGGATGTCTGCAGCCTCTGACCATGTCGTTTAGCATGTCTGCAGCCTCTGACCATGTCGTTTAACATGTCTGCAGCCTCTGACCATGTCGACCATGACTATTTTTTGTTATATGTCTGCAATGTCTTGACAGCTTTGTATACCATTACATTCGCTTCTTATGTGCAGCCCTATGGTAATGCTAGGGAGCCACACTTGCTGTCTAATACATCAAGAAGGTTGAACACCACTTTTCTACGGCCTGATGACAAAACTTTAAACCAGACTTTTTTTTTTTTACAGAAATCTCTCTGACTTTTTACTTTCTTTGTGCTTTTTTGGCAGACCTTGGTGGTGAAGGTGTGGGGAGTCATCATGTCTGTAGTCGGTGGACTGGCTGTGGGCAAGGTTAGTAAAAAAACAAATGTTTTCCTTTTTTCCTCCAGATCTCCCTGAAGCCTTGTGTGCATACAATGGGTGTGCATATGTGATTGAAGCGCAGGTCAGCAGATTCCTATGGGTACAGTGTGGACGACTGTTTTAGGACTGCACTTGACTTGCTTTGTTTTGCACTTCTCTGGGTGCAGCAAGTCCTATTAGGCCCCATTCACACTGAGGGAAAAATCCCGCGATTTCCAGTGCGATAGCGTGCATTTTTGCCGCGTGATATCGTGAGAAGTCACCGGGCCACCGCCCTGCAAAGTGTCGCGCGAATTTCCTCTTTTTAAAAAAAAATAATGCAGCGCGACGGTGAAGGTCGCGCGATCGTCGCTGGAACGTCCGAAATCCGCTCGAGGTGAGTGTTGCTTAGTGTGAATGTGGCTTTAGAGATGCATTGCAGGAGAAGCAGGTCAAACGCTGCCTTTTGTGTTCGAACGCACGCATCTGTGTATATATCTGTTCAGTCCTGCTTCCTGATCGTTACATTTGTCACAGGTTGAATGAAATTGGAAAGCACTGTGCTGACCTTTGCTCCTTCTGAATTTAGGAAGGGCCGATGATTCATTCCGGAGCGGTGGTGGCAGCCGGTATTTCTCAAGGCAGATCTACATCGCTCAAGAAAGACTTCAAGGTCAGTTCTGTTTTACAGGAACCAGATCTCATTCTGTGGCTTTCGTGGATTCGTTACACCAAACGTTCAGAACAAGGCTGATGTATGAAAATAGAACTTCCTGTGTTGCCCGCAGCAGCCCATCGGCTATTAGGTTTTTATTTGCCAGCAGCCATGCTTAGAAAATGTTGTGGATTTATTTGGTATTGTTAACTCAAACATGCTTGTATACAAGATATCGTGCTTTAAAAAGAAACATTCTTGCTTGCTGAAAAGTAGGAGATTGTATCTATAAATGTGGGAAATGTAGGAAGCAACTTAAAGTGACATTAAACCCTCAGATTTTTTAGCATAAACCAATACTGTAATGTGCGCCTTACTGTAATCCAGGGTTGTTTCCCTTCTCTTTGCTGCTCTTCCTTTTAAATCTGTATCTGTTCTCATGCTCTGCAGAACTTCCCTTTTCAGCTCAGGGCCTCTTCCTGTACTGTTGGCTCAGGTTTCAAGCCTATACAAACGGCTACACAGACACCGTGTATCCATTCCAGAGACAAGGCAGTCTGCTGCAAAACAGAAGTTCTGCAGAGCATGAGAACAGATACAGATTTAAAAGGAAGAGCAGCAAAGAGAAGGGAAACAACCATGGATTACAGTAGGGCACACATTACAGTATTGTTTTATGTTAAAAAATCTGAGGGTTTAATGTCACTTTAACTGCTTGTAATTAAGTGCTGGCCCCTTTTAAATGGCTTTTCCTGCTCCCCACAGTAGCGGGAAACTGAGCATTTTATACAGCCGGAGATGAGTATTACATACAGGCGTACAGGCAGCAGGCCTATAGAGCTGCCTGATCACTTTGTACGGTCCTGGGGAAGTGTGGCCCCCTCCCCATATTGCTGGCTTTCCTGGGCACCGCTGTCCCCCGTGCAGAACCAACACAGCAGGTCTCTGCACACTTCCAGTGGCTGATCTCCCCTACGATCCCTGAACCCAGAAGCAATGTTTATTACATCACTTCCAGTTTCAGTGTGTCATTTCTCTGGCTGCTGTAGCCGGAGATGAAGCTGGTGAAGCACAATCTCTGCTTCATCAGCTTCTTTGGGGGTCTAATAGACCCCTGATGTCTTCCTAAAGTCACTGTGTCTGTGCTATCACATATTGGGCATGTTAGCCCCCTATGTGATGGCAATAAAGTTAAGTGTAAAAAAAAATAAAGTTTCAAAAATGAGTCGCATATAAAAAGACACTTAAAAGAAAAAAAAAGTCACCGCCCCCATTTACACGCATATACAAACCCAAACATGCATCAGGCGCACCTACGTGCAAAAATGAGGATTGCGCCACTCACGGTACATATCACTGTGAATGTCCGAGTGCAAGCAATAACTCTAGGGCCATCAATCACTGATAACACTAAACTGATGAGCAGAAAAAGCTTTTTAAAGCATCGCTTATGGTAAATTTAGGATATGTTCGTTTTTTCGATTTCACAGGCGCACCCAATTTTAAGGCTTGGCATGTTTACCCGACGTGACCCCGTCTTTAATATTTTACCCCAAAAATTGGCTAATAATAAGTGTCATTACATAATGTAGGTAAAAGTTTGTTGTTTTTTCCCCAAAATGTTTGATACTTTTTTTCTGCTAGTGAGCTTCATTCTTCTATTTCTGAATATAAAGGAACATATGCTAAAAAAGAAAACTAATGCGGCCACCACAGCTAAGGACTGGTAAACTGCAATCTATCTTTGAGTTTCAATACATTGTTATCCCCTCCGGCCGAGGCCTCACTTGCAGCTCAAAAGGACTGATTGGGAGTGTTCACAGCATGACTTGTTTGTGAATGATCATTTTGTGTCTTTGCAGATCTTTGAATACTTCCGCAGGGACACAGAGAAGAGGGACTTTGTGTCAGCAGGGGCCGCTGCTGGGGTGTCAGCAGCTTTTGGAGCACCAGTCGGTATGTGTCTCCTTACTCGTGAAAGTCCACTCGGCAGTTGGTATATTTTGGGTCAACTTCTGACGATATGATAGTAGGACAGTACAGTGGCTTAGTGGTTAGCACTTCTGCTTTGCAGCACTGGGGGTCCCTGGTTCAAATCCTGGCCAGGTTTCTATCTGCAAGGAGTTTGCATGTTCTCCTGGTGCCTGCGTGGGTTTCTTCCGGGTACTCCGGTCTCCTCCTCTCACACTTCAAAGACATGCTGGTAGGTTAATTGGCGCCTGTCTAAACTGGCCCTGAATGCATGTGAGTTAGGGACCTTAGATTGTAAGCTCCTTGAGGGCAGGAACTGATGTGAATGTGCAGTGTGTAAAGTGGTGTGTAAACTGTTGGCGCTAAATATGTGTGTGTGTAATATAAAATATATAGTAGGAATTATTTAACTGATGCTGGGATAACAATCCCTGTCACCTCCACCTCCCTGATCGTCCTGCTCTCTCAAAGAGAATCTCATTTTTTTCCATTTAACTCCATTGCCTACATGCTTTTCTTTACCTTCCCCGTTTCCCACCGCTGCTTCGTTCCTATGTCAGAGCCCTCAAAAATAGGAAAGGAGGCCATAAGCCCTTTGCAAGCTTCAACACAGACCAATGCAGAGATTGGAATAGACCCAAGTAGGTGTGGGAGGAGAGCTCGGCCCCCTGCAGTGCTGAAAGCGGTTCTCCCTCCCGAGCGCTCTGCATCCTGAAACCATCTCTCCTCCCCTCTGGATGCTGGACGCTGCATCGGAAGACACACAGACTGGCACCCAGCAGGGAGGAGAGAAGCTGGGGGGGGCACTGAACTTTTAGCCGCATTTTCGGCCATCATGGCACTTTCGGCATTTTGCCCAAAGTGCCATTTTCGGCTGAAATGTTTCAGCGTCCGAAATTTCGGTGCATCCCTAGTGCAGAACGTACGTGTATTGAAACTGTGATTTAGCTGTATACAAAGTATACAGTATAGTGGCAATTTAAAACTTCAGTTACCTTAGGAAAAATAGTAAGTCATCTCAAGGATCGTTGTGCTCTCCCATTTGAGGGGAAAGCTATTACTACCCCCCTCAGTTGCTTCCAGTTTTATGCTGAAATTGGGCATGTGTTGTGTGCTGTCCTACTGGAGTCATCTAATCAGCTTTTAAACCAGGAGATTTCTTTATTTATATCCAGTAGCCCATGCTGCTATTTTCTGGGCCTTATTTTTGTATTTTCCTGGCAGAGGCTTCAATTCTTTTTAAAGCTGCTTGGTGCGGCCTTGCAGAAATCCAGTTTCTTGCCCTGAGTGTCCAAAGAGAACCCGCCTGCTGAAGTATTCCATGCTGAGCATGTTAAGGGCCCCTGTCTTGCTGCTACTACCTGGATTTCAGCAAGGATTGGTTTACAATGAGACGGTGACATCACTGTTGCATTCAGCTATTACCGAAGTTGACCGCATTTGTATGATTTGAGTCAGCATTTTAAAGATGGACTCCAGGCAAACCGCTGAATACTCAACCGAAGCACATTGATATAACTGTTTTCACCTGGCTGTGGATTGGTATTTCTTTGTGAGCAGTCTTGCGGTCCAGGGACCTATGGTCAGAGAGCACAACCAGGTTCTGGACCTCCCTGCTGACTACTTTGCAGCAATGCACTAAGGCCTGGTTCACACCTGGGCGTTTTACAGCGTGTTCCTACGCGCTGTAAAACGCTCATGTTGTGAAAACCAATGATTGCCTATGGGCATGGTTCCCACCTGGGCGGTTTACAGCGCGTAAGAACGAGCTGTAAAACACCCTACGCCCAAAGAAGTACAGGAGCTTCTTTGTGGCGTATTTGCCGCGCGTATCCATTGGGATACAGCCGGATAGCCCTCGGAAACGCGCATTTGTCGCGCGTTTCTTTTACCGCAATTCGCTGTAAAAACGCGCATATTCCGTACGCCTAGGTGTGAACCCAGCCTAGAGTAAAATCTGCCTTATGCTGTGAAATGAAGAAGCAGCAGCACAGGGATGAGGTCATCATTTGGGCTTCTTCCTTCTGTAGGCATCTTCACTTTGTTAGACCGGAAGCGGATAGAGAGGAAGTATTCCATGAAGCTTTATTGGCTAACATTGCTGCCCCATCCTCTCCCTCTCTAAGTGTTGTGCTCCGGGCTACTTATGCTTTGTTCTTTTTCATTACATTTTATACTTTTTTAATGAAAAACATGTCTGGATTAAATGATGTATTTGGCATGTGTTTTGGAGTTCAGTATTTTCACATCCTGTAATAATGTTTCCAGGAGGGATTAAGGAAACTTTGTCAGATGTAGTTACTTCTTTGGGAAGTCTGAGGATTCTGACCACAGCTTCCCCTTGTGACCGCAGCTTCCTCCTACCTCCCTGACTGCTGCGATTGGGAAATGGTAGTTATAAATACCATACGCTAGCCCTGAGTGAGGGAAGGTAGTCTGATATTTCAGTTGATTTAACCTATTTCAGTACAATGTAGTCTTACAGAAAATTAAGTGCTGGATAGGATGCCAATAGGGGAAGGAATTCTCATTCAGCTGGAAACAGCCTTTGGTTGAGTAGCATTGGAGGGAGCCTGGAGCTGGACAGGCACCTATTTCAGGTCTTGCTCACTCACAAGGTCCAATTATTTAGTTCAGTTTACCATTTTTTGCCTTGGGCAAGGGAAGGGGGTGACAAATAAGCAGACCTTAAATTTGGGGTGCATATTTGGCTGTAGGTCACCTGTATGTGGATGTGGTGCACATTACTTTGAATGCTGTGTAAACTGTGTGTGTCCTGTCTGTGTCTCCTGTAGGTGGTGTGCTCTTTAGTTTGGAAGAAGGGGCCTCATTCTGGAACCAGCTGCTGACTTGGAGAATAGTAAGTGTCCAGCTCTTTCTGATGGTTGGTTTGCTTGGAAAACCATTGACGAGTACCAGCACTGCATTTGGGAGAAGGGGGTGATAAAAGGCACCAGAAGGTATTGATACACAGGGGCGTCCCGAGGCCAGGTGTCACCCGGAGCAGATTACTGGGTGACACCCCGCCGTGATGTAATCGCGCACGTGCGGTCATCTTTTTGATACCTGCCGGCGGCCATCTTGGTGATGGGCGCCGGCAGAGAGAAGGAGACGTTCATCCGGCAGGATAAGGTGTGCCGCCGGGTCCCCTCCTCTCTCTCCTGCAGCTGGAGGGCTCTCTGTCCATGAACAAGTGCCCGACTTTTCCGAGGGGGTGACACCAAAATGACTATCGGTCATTTTGGTGTCAACCCCCCCTGTGACGCCCTCTTGATACATAATGCTGCCTTTTACAGAATCCTCTGCCGAGTGCCCCAGGAGCAAGTCCTCCTCACTTAGACTCATCTCTCCCCTACATTGCGTAAAACAATGTTGATACATCTGCTACCTTTTTGGAGCACAAACTATAACGCAGTGGTAAAAACTGCCAGTTAAAGGGTCCAGGCATTCATGTGTAATGTGAGAAAACAGCCAGGGGACCTCTTCTGACTGGCCAGATCAAACCTGCAGACCTGATGCTTCCATTTCAGACCCTTCCTTCTAAAAGAAATGCTAGTTGCTTGGTCCAGGTCCTCATGGTTGGCACACATGCCGGACATTATTTGTGCAAGGCAACATACAACAGACAGACAATCTATATTGCAGTTTTCACATTGTGTATATAGATTCTTCCATGACTTTATCAGATACAAATGTACAAGAGATATTTGTGTTGTTAGGAGAACCTTCTGTGTTTCTAGTAAAAGTCAAGAATTTTAGCCAGCAGCTTTTGTTGCAGACAGAGCAGACATTGTTCTGTTACAGTGATCTCCAGGACTGGAAATATTTTCCGATATCGTAGTATTTTGGGGCCAGGGGAGGTAAAAGGGCTGATCCCGATCACAAGGATTGGCAAAGGTTCGTTATTGACCTCCTCTAACCCAACCGAAACACTCCGAATTAGTGGAACCCTGTAAGAGTTGCCTGTATGGGTTAAAGGGTAACTCCAAGCAGGGAGCCGGAGCGGATATTTAGTTCAACTTACAAAATGGAGAGAGCTGGAGGTGATCAGTGCGATGCTCGCTAGTAGGTCAAATCGCAGGTAGTGCCATGGACAAATCAAAGGCTCTGGAAGGTGCAGTGTAGATATATAGCTGAGCAAGGGTTGGTGGTATACAGATTTGTGCAAACCTCTACAAATATTTACCCTCCCGCACTGCAAGGGTTAACTGCTCGTTATGGTCTACGGAGGGAAATCAAAAAGTTATACTCACCTGATCCTCCGAGCTGGCTTGCTCTAAAGTTGGCCATACACTTATAGATTAATTATCTGCAGATTTTCTATGGAAAAAGTGCATGGAGGAATCTCCCGCTGGGCCAAGCTTCAGTATCTTGCTAGTCGGCCCCGCTGGCTCTCCAAATACCTGAACAATCTGATTGGACGCAGGCATTGTTCAGGTATTTGGAGAGCCAGTAGGGCCGACCAACAAGAGACTGAAGGTTGGCCCAGGTGGAGATTACTCCATCCACACAGTTTAGCATAGATGGAGGAATCTGTTGCACTTTTTCCATCTGACCATAGAAAATCTGCAGATAATCTATAGGTGTATGGCCGGCTTTAGACCGGTCCTTCCATGCAGTCAGACTTTGTACTAACTTTGCCCCTTTCCTGTTACTGCAGTTGTGCACGGTGTCTAAATATGACTGTACAGTCGAATAGGCACCAGAAGAGGCCCGGTGATCTCTGTAATGAGCACTTAGTAAATCACACCAACCTGGTCAGGCACGCTCCCTCCCCATCTCTGCAGTATAAGTCTGTACGCTGACACTTGTGCCGAGTGTGTGGCTGTTACTCGGCTCTGCCAGCACAGAACACTGCAGTGTAAGAGCAGGAGGACACCTTTTGCCTGAGGGAAGAAAAAAAAAGGGTGTTCTAAAGCATTTCTAAGCAATGGTCGTTCTCATAACATTCGGGGATACATGGCTATTAACATATAAAGTGTGACCTTATAGTTTGTGTACGGCTTTCATTATATAATACCGGGAGATCCTGCCATGAAGGTGCTTCTGTGGGCACTTCCTGTTATAGGGTGACAACGCTCTGTCCCTCTCTCCTACCTTGTCACACGGGTTTAAACGGAGACTACAAGCAACACATAAGTCACCCATGGTCTGCTGTTGTCACCATCTCTAAAGCTGCCCTGAGAAATACCATGCAGCCATCACGGCAGAACTGAAGCGGCAGCAGCAGGAGTTTAACACTCCGACATGCAACACATAATAGAAAAATAAAGTTAAAAGCAACTTCTAGATATATCTATATAGATAGCTATAGATCTATAGATAGATATATAGATAGATATAGATATATATTTATATATATCTCAACTCTTTGAATCGCAGCACACAGAGTAAGGTAAATGTCATCCAGCTGAGGTTTACATCTACTTGAACTACTTGGCTGAAGGTTCCATGTAAGAACATGTTCAGTCTCTGTGTTGAACCTTGTAATACTCGTTCCTCCAGTATGATTGAGACAAGATGGCTGCCCAGCTGCTTTATGTTTCTTATTTTCTGACCAATTTCATCCTCCCCTTGTATCCCCCTATAACGTCTTCCTCATGTGGAGCTATCAAACTGTCAAGTCCCACATCAGGTTCTTTTACCCATTGTATTATTTTTTTTCCATTGTATGATTTTTTTTTTTTCTCCCTTCTTTCACAGTTCTTTGCCTCAATGATCTCCACCTTCACCCTGAACTTTGTCCTCAGCATTTACAACCGCAAGCCGGGCGACCTGAGCAACCCGGGTCTCATAAACTTCGGAAGATTTGACACAGATGTGAGTCTCTGGTCCTCCTTTATGGGCCTTTTTGACGAGTCTATAACTCAGGGGGCTGACAGGTTTGGCACTCCAGCTTTGCTGCAACTACAAATTCCATCATGTCTCTGGGAGTCGTTCCTGTGACTTGTCAGTCTTGCAGTGCATCATGGGATTTGTAGTTCAACAACATATGGAATGGGATGTTGCCTACCCTAACCATAGCTGCTGGCTTGGCTCAAAGACTTGGTGTTTGCTTCTTAGAGCCAGTATTGCTTACATTTTTCAAGATCTTAATATTCAGTGTATGACTAACAAAACTCCATCAATAAACAAAATATTTTATTTTTTTAGAAAAAATTACTTTTTAAGTGAATATTTTATTAGATATAATATTTATTTTAATATTATTATAATAATATAATTAAATATTTTAATTAAGCAAACGTGCCTCAACTATGCCATGTCTACAAACTCCCTTGCACTGTGTTCTTCCTGGCTGTGCACCTTGGTCTTGATTGGCCAACCCGGGATAATTAATTCATCCCGGCACCAAGGGATGTTGGATAGCAGGCAAGGAAGAAGCTTTTATCGCTGCAGAGAAATGGTATGCCTCTTCTGCAATGAAAAACCTTTCAAGTTCCACTTGAAATGAAGTCAAATATTAAAGTGGAACTAAAATCTGGCAAAAATTTGTAGTGGTCCATTTATGAACAGCCAGCAGTTGTGCGAACCAGATTTGCAGCTCATTATGGCCGATAGATTGACCCGAAGAGAGTAGGAATTTGCTATGCCCATTGGCTCCATGTAGTGGCCATAAAGCGCTGTGACTCTTGCTCGATGTGCAAACAGTTTATAAATAGACCCCTTAGTGTCATGCTAAGGAAGTTTTTACTTAAAAGCTTTCAGACTTCATTATATGCCTTATTGTAGACCCAATGACATCATCGCTGGATCTTTGTGCTTCTCTATGCAATGCAGGTAGATCATGACTGGTGGGAGGGGCCGGCAGGGTGCTGTGATGTTTTCAGGAAGCTATGTACAGCACCCCGCTAACCCCTCCCACCAGTCATGATCTACCTGCATTGCATTGAGAAGCCTCAGGTCAGATAGAAGATTGGAGCGAAGACCGGTGGTCAGATATAAGACTGGAGCGAAGGCCGGAGGTCAGATAGAAGACTGAAGGGAAGGCCGGAGGTCAGATAGAAGACTGAAGGGAAGGCCGGAGTTCAGCTTTAATATTTTGTCTCTCTGCACATCCTGTAGACTGTTTGTATGAACCTCCTGTTCAGAGAGAGAGAGAGACACGCAGATCTTTGTTCTCCCTTCCACTGCCTGAGCAATTACTTCTGCGTGTGACATAATGGGGTTAGTAAATTATGGAGAGAAAAAAAACACCACAATTCATTTATCTCCTAAACCTCTATGAATAGAAACCATCAGAGACAGTGCAGTCAGGAGTGAGTCTTGTGATCCTAATGACATGTCCTGGTGGTCTCATGGCTCACCCCTTCTCTGAAAGAAATGGTAACCCATAAAAGTCTGGAATAACGTGTACTATCCCAGGAAGAATGTTTGCTCTCGGGCATTCTTGAACTCCCAATGGCTGCTCATTACAGATCTTTCCATAGTCTTTCCCAAGAGAAACAAATGCAGCAATTCCAATGTAGGTTCTCTCCCTCCCACCACTGTGTACAGCCAGATTAAAGTGAACCTGTACATCTAGAAATTCTATTTGTATGAAGTTGTCCTGTTCATCTTGAATTGCTCCTGAAAAACAGCAGTGTATTCCCTATGCCTAGGCACACCTGTTCTGTAGCCTTATAGCTGTATATCTGCAGTGTGAGATATAAGGCACTGCTGCCTCTGACTCCTAGTCTCACCAGATTTGGTGATGACACTACTGTGCTGTTCATTGTTCTCCTTGCTGGAGTGGAAGCTGTACCTGAGGACCTGCAGTGCAAGAATGACCCGCCTCCCAGCTAACTAATTGGGCGGGAAGCCGGCTCCATACTAATTGGCTGGAAAGGCTGCTTCTCAGCCAATTAGCATGGAGTCATCCGAACAGCTGGCTCTTTGCTGATTGGCTGAGAAGCCAGCTCTCCAGCCAATCGGTATGGTGCCAGCTTCCCGCCCTTTCAGGGAGACGGGTCCTTACTCGCCACCCGCTTTCCTGATTGGCTGGGAAGCTGGGTTCCCGGCCAATCACAATCGAGCCTGCCAAACAACATGGAGCCGGCTTCCTGGGCAATCGGGAAGCCGGACGGCATGTCATTACACTCCACCCGGCTTCCTGATTGCTCTTGAAGCCGGCTTGCTGCTGGCGGAAGCATCGGTATCGACGAGTACCGAAAGCAAAATTTCGATACCAAAAAACCAGTAGCGGTGCATTCCTAGTTAAAACACCATCAGCCCCATTTATTATTATTGGGGAGATGTCTCTTTATTGCCTATACTAGGGACACAGGAAGTAAGAGGAAATCTCTCCAACGTGAGTGGAAATCCCACCTGCTCCTATTTATTTCTGTTCTGTTTTACAACAAGCACCTTTTGGATCAAAATCTGTGCCGGTGATAATGGTCCGCAGGACCAACAGAGATGCTGAATCTCCCCGTCGGAGACACCGACAGCAATAAAATCCTAACAGGGGTTCTGTTTCCTACTCTGTCCGAAAAAATGTTTTGTATGTAGAAATGTAACAATTTTCTATGATGGTTGTACAATGGAGTGTTCCTTTCCTAATCTATTCTGTTTCTTGATTGGCAGCAAAACAGCTACAAGTACTTTGAACTTCCAATCTTTATTGTCATGGGAGCAATAGGTAAGACCAATATATAGAACCTTTTCATACTCAATGCAGAGGAAAGAGATTTTGTTCTTTATCATGCAGTTGAATATTTGTTGAATTTTCCTATGATAATACCGATGCATTTGAAAACCGTATATATAATACTTAAAGGAGGACTATGGGGTTAAGTCTTTTCCCCATAGTTCTCCTTAGGGTAACGGGAGGACACAAACTAGCGTCCTCCCGTCACCCTAGGCTCAGTATACCGCGAGCTGCAGCTCGCAGTATACTGAGACACCGCAGCTGAAGCGGATCCCGACAATTGCGCCGGGATCAGCCCAGCTGTGTGACTGACAGCTGGCTCTGCCTATCTAGAGGCAGAGCCAGCTGTACCCGCCCCCTCCCCGTCCGTTCCGCCAGTCAGCGCTGGCAGATCGGAGGGGGGAATCCAGCCCCTCCCCTGTCACGGCAGAGAGCCGTGACAGGATCGAGAGGTGAGCGAACGGCGGTACGTGTTCGCTCACCTCCCGATCTACTAAGCCGACCTGTGACAGTCTCATTGTCACAGGTCGGCTAGAACTATGAGGTGAGTGAAAAGCACTCACTTTAATTTAAATGAATTTGTTATACCTCATATGTCAAAAAGTCTATGTACTTGTCACGTTATGCCGCCCTTTATCCTTTCTTGGCAGGTGGCATGCTGGGAGCGCTGTTTAATGCCTTCAACAACTGGCTGACGGTGTTTAGGATCCGGTAAAGTGATGCCTTCATTATTTATTTGACTTTTTTATTTACCTCTTGTTGTCTGCGCTCCTGTTTGGCGCCTCAGTGATGCTGTGGTCTTAATGCACAGGAAGGAGAAGAAGCATATAGGAGTTCTTCTGTTAGAGGGTTGTTCCATTTACTTCAAGGAAAGTCTTCTTTACAGAATAAGGAAAAAAAAATCTATATATTAAAAAAAAAATGTGTGTGTGTTTCGGGATTGGGGTCCGAAAGTCAATTGGTTTCGGTAGTCTGTACGAATTTTCGGTTCTGTTGTTGCAGTCCCTTTGCTGTAACGAAAATACGTCTACAAACAAAAAGTCTTGCAGACTTCCGCTAACTAATTTTCGTTTGGAAATTCGGATTCGTTTTCATTCGTCATTTCTGGTATTCGGAAATTTGGATACATCCGAATAATGAAAATTCGTCCGCAACAAATTTTTCCGAAAATAATCGCACGTGTCTAATATTTAATAAAATATGTAAACAGCTGGCCCGTGTAGTGCAATCCAATAGAAGAGATACTGGGGTGTTGGTGGTTGCTGGGGGCTCATATTGCTGAAAACGTTAATGCTGGTTCTCATAGAAAGGAGTCTGAACACACAGAGCATTGTAGTTTGTTGCGTTATGGGGCTGTTTGGCCACAGACCAGTAAGGGTGCCCATGCTGACCACCACCAAAAGCTCCTTGGGCACGTGAGCATCAGAACTGGATCACAGAGCAATGGAAGAAGGTGGTCTGGTCTGATGAATCACATTTTCTTTTACATCATGTGGCTAGCTGGGTGCGTGTGTGTCACTTACCTGGGCAGGAGATGGCACCAAGATGCACTATGGGAATGCAAGCCGGAGGAGGCAGTGTGATGCTTTGGGCAATATTAGGAAACCTTGGGTCCTGGATGTTAGTTCAACACTTACCACCGACCTAAACATTGTTGCTGACCAAGTTACACCCCTTCATGGAAACAGTATTCTGATCCAGTTCACCCTGCAGCTGCTGTGATTTTGGAAAACCATGATGAAATTGGCAATTACACTTTTAGGTTAGAGGGCGGAGCTTTTCAGGACTTTTCAGGCGCTCTATAAGCAGGGCCGGTTCTAGATTATTTTGCGCCCTAGGCAAGACCAGCTACTTGCACCCCACCCCCTGCGCGCAGCGCCATTCTCCTGCGAGTTAGCTTCTGCAGGCGACGGGTGGATGTAATTTAATTTGAAATAGCCAATAGCAGACTGGCTATTGAAACCCCAACCACTGAGCAGAGGAGCGAACCTGAGAGAGAAAGTTGTCTCTCATTTACGCTCCTCTGCTCAGTGGGCGGGTGCAATAGCCAGCCTGCTATTGGCTTTTGCAATTTGAAATAGACGGGGGCACCGTGGGGGGTGAATAGTCAAGGCTGCGCCCTAGGGAGCAGAGCGCCCTAGGCGGCTGCCTAGTTTGCCTAGTGTGTGCACCGGCCCTGTCTATAAGTACTAGACATGTGCCCGGACTCAGGTGATGTTTGATGCCTGTTCCATTTTGTCTCATGTGCTGCAGCAAATGAGCACAGGCACACTTGACGCCTCATAAGATGATGTGTTTGTTCTTTCAGTGCAGGAATTAATCAACTCTCGCTGCTTTCATATACAATGTGTATAAACGGAACCATGAAATGACCTGCGAGTGTGAAACAATAGGACTGCATGGTGTAAAAACATTGTTTGTAATAATCACATTTGCAGTATTGTTTGTAAAGGACCCCACACCCTTCACAGAGAGCGGGAGATTTCACACCTATGACTTTGTTGTGATGTTCTGCTCCAGGATAGATCGATATGATGAAGCATACTACTGTCAGTTGGTAGAAATCTTCTTATTTATCTTATTACAAGACGGGAAGTCAGTTGTGTTGCACAACTTGAGGGCATAATAAAGGATTATCTGGTAGAATTTGTTCAGAGGTTGGACTTGATGGACTAATGTCTTTATTCAACCTCAAATACTATGTAACTTCATTTCCTGCATTGTAGCACATTTTGTATTTAATTTACCAGAGATAAGGGGCTTCGCATTATACTGAGCATATGCATAAGATGGTCAGGGACTGGATAACCTCCTGCAGTAGACTGTCAGGGACTGGGAGGCTTGTTGAAGGGGACTGGGAGGCTTGTTGAAGGGGACTGGGAGGCTTGTTGAAGGGGACTGGGAGGCTTGTTGAAGGGGACTGGGAGGCTTGTTGAAGGGGACTGGGAGGCTTGTTGAAGGGGACTGGGAGGCTTGTTGAAGGGGACTGGGAGGCTTGTTGAAGGGGACTTGCTGCGTAGGACTGGGAGGCTTGCTGCGGGAGATGGTCAGAGACTGGGGGACTTATGACGGAACCTTTTCCAATCATTGCCCCCCCCCTCCCCATCTATGCTCCCTTCCAGATTACTCTGACCACCTCAGTAACATAAGACCTGGGTTCATACTGGTACTAGCCCTTTCTTTTTACTTTGCTTGGAATAGAGTGATCAGCGGTTATATTGCTGCCCGTGGATCTGTGCATTCAGTGTATAAAGGTGATCTGGAGAACATTTTTTTTTTTTTTTTTTCCTTCAAAAAAAAGAGAAGTTTCACTTTAACAGATGTGACCGCTGACATTTTTTCTTTTTTTTCCTTTCAACCTTTGGTTTTACTATTACCATGGAAAACAGCTTTACCTTCTGTCTGCAATAAGATGAATGTCATTAATTTCCCTCTTCCTGACTGGAATGGTTTGAGTTTTCATTCAGGTCCTTGTATTGCCAACAATAATTTCCCCCGTATTTTGTCATTTGTCTTTTGGGTAATTTAAGAAGCTCATGTGCAGTAATGAATGGATCTGCAGGAATATGCATAGCTCGTCCTGTGATGACAGCATGAGTGGGTGTAAATGCCAGTCACATTAGTAACAATGACCGCTGTAGAATAGAGATGATAAAATCAGATGTGCAGTAAAAAATGCCTTTCAGCCGTAGAGGTCTGTTAAGAGGACCTGTACTGTGGATGCTGTGGCCAAAAGGCAAGCAGAGGCCAACGGACTTGTTACCAGTATTGCCTGTGGTCTCCCTGCAGCTGATCTTTTCCACATTACTGACGTACCGTGCCTTGGTCTTCAGTGTATCTCTTTATGGAGGTGGCCATCTTGGTAGAGGCAGGACTTTGCTTCCCTGTTAATCTCCACACTGTTAACTGAACAAATCTGTGTTTGAAGCAAAATCAAATGTGTTTTTCTGAAATATTTACCTTATGGGAATTGAATTCCTCCTGAAAAATAGCAGTGAACTTCCTGAGATGTGAGGGCACCTAGGCGATCATGTGCCAGTGCGATATCTAAGGCACTGCTGCCTCTTACTCCTGGTATCACCAGATTTGGAGTGAGATTTGGTGATGTCACTTCTGAGCTGCTCGCTGTTCTCCCTTGCTGGAGAGGAAGCTCTACCGGAGGACCTGCAGTGCAAAGATCTCCCTGCTTCTGCTCCATTCATTCTATGAATATGAGCTTCATGGACCTTTTCGTGTAGAACAAGGTCACAAACTGCATGGTAAGTCAGTGATGGAGAAAAGATCAGCTGCAGGGACACCTCAGACAGCACTACAGACTAGTCCTTTGCACGCTGCTTTTTTTGCTTTTTTTCTGTCTTCCCTTCACCAGTCCTGCTGCTTCTTGATCATTACCCCACCGGTCATCAGATCACTATTCATCGGGGGGCAGCTCTGACATGAGGAAGCAAAGCACTGCTGGTTTATTGAGACGGCTACTTCCATACCCAGACCTTGTGCAGAATCAAGTCGGTAATGTTCTCCTTGCTGGAGAGAAAGCTGTGCCTGAAGGCCTGCAATGCAAGGGTCTTCCTGCTTCTGTTTTATGTATTCCATCAATATGAGCTTTATGGACCTCTCCTGCAAAACAGCGTAGAACAAGGTCAAGAACTGCATGCCAAGTCAGTAATGGGGAAAAAGTCAGCTGCAGGGAGACCACAGACAATACTGGTGACTAGTCCTTTGCCCTCTGCTTACCTGCTTTGATCACATCTTCTACAGCGCAGCTTCTCTTTAAGATCCCTGGTAGATAGTGTGTAGTGTGCTTTATTGGTGCCCACCCTCCACCACAGATGGGTGGACTTTCTGTAGGGTAGGAGGGACTACATCTGCACTGCTGTCATACATGCCCATGGGGACAACCAAATCTCACACATATATATATATATATATACGGGATGGCTCTGTTGCACATTGCATTTGTATGAAATACATTGAAGGTTTCGTACTGTATAACTAAAATCTTTTCTCTCTTCAGGTACTTACACCGTCGCGGCCTGCAGGTGATCGAAGCCATGTTGGTAGCAGCTGTGACGGCCACCATTGCCTTTGTCTTGATCTATTCCTCCTCTGACTGCCAGCCGCTGCGGGAGGGCTCTGGTGAATACGCGCTGCAGGTAGCTTATGATGCTCTTATGCTTCTGTACTGCAGGCGCTGAGAGTGGATGAAGGGGTAGTTTAGACAGAGGGGTACCATGTGACTCAGGAGGCGGGGCAGTGACACCAAAATAATTGCTGGCTTAGAAAATGTGTCATACTATTCAGGGTAAAGCAAAGGGAGGCACCGGTAGAAGCAAGAAAAGATATTACAGATGGACCGGCCATTGCAATTGCTTGGACGTAGATTATCTGTGTTTTTGTGAAAGAACCTCTTAACCTCCAATGTTTGTTTTTGTGCTTTTCAGCTCTTCTGCCCAGATGGCCAATACAATGCCATGGCGTCAGCCTTCTTCACCACACCGGAGAGCAGTGTGCGCAGGCTCTTTCATGATCCCCCTGGTGAGTTCAGTCTTTGCGTGCTCGTTATACCTTTACAGTTTCAGATACTGATAGAAATACCGGAGCATTGGTGCTTGTTTCTCCACGCATACCCTGCTCCCATTGGACACTGTGAATGGCCATGGGAAGTGGGATAGAGAAACGAGACCAGTGATGCAGACTATGAAACCTGTACCTTCTTACTATAGCAAGTCTTACATTTCACCGGTGTCCAGCCATGTGACCGGCACGTAGGAATTGGTCATGCAGTCTCTGCTGAGGATCTTGGGCCCCTCAGGGGGGGGTGTTGACATTCTGGCAGAGACTACATCACCAAATCTTTGATACTGGTCACATGGTCGGACACTAGTGGGATGTACAACTTGCTACACGAAGGCAGAAGATGAGGATCACCAGCACTCGGTAATATCTTTCAATATGTCCATGTAATTGGACAGATCGTCACAACAACAAATGCCTGTCTTCTTATCTACCTACACTTGCTACACGAAGGTGCATCTTTTTCTGTTCCTTCTTTAAAGTTGATGTCGTTTTCTACCCCTCTCTCTCTCTTTGGCCACTAAGAATGGCCATGGGTAGAAGGGGGTGGAGAAACGACACCAAAGCTGCAGTCTGAGATACCTGTGGGATGAAGGACTCTGCTGAGGATCTTGGGGGGGCTGACATTCTGGCAGAGACTACCAATTCCTCGATGTTGGTCACCTAATGGGACTCCAGTGGGGTGTAGGACTCTGCCAGAACATTGGCCTGCCCCCCCCCCCCCCCCCCCC